TCCACCTACCACCCATGCAAAATGATAGCAAACAAGGATTTGCATAAGCACAAAGATTAGTTACATACATGGACTACATTATGACAATGAAATTACACTTCAACGGCAAATAACTTAATTAATCCAATGCAATTATCTACACAAATTCATTATGTTCTTTACTTACCTGTTCCACTGTAATATTCAAGGACTCGAGAGCAGCTACAACTTCATGAAGTAAAGGAGAAGCAGCATCAAAATGAGGACGTAGAGCAGTATGGTGTAGTGTCAAAAGGTACCCATTCCTCTTTCCCCTCCCTGCTTAGTTTTTATGAATGATAATTAGCCATCATGCAGATGAAAAACTCAAAGTAAAAGAAAACGTGGAGACAATTGCATGGCATACCTTAGCACACTCTTTAAGAGGAAAACTCAATTTCAAATCCTGCGTTCATTACCTGGACAAGTAGCATTTGGAAATTCACCAATCAAGGTATTTCACACATTAGACATAAACTATCTGACATACCAAGTTAAATTCATCTTTCAAAACTTTGGAAACTCTGCGTAAAGCTTCTTTTGGGCAATATTCCCATGCTTCGCCAGGTTTAAGATACATATCAGCCAAAACCATTTCCTCTTGTGTTGCCCTGTGGAGAAAAAGAAATATAACCAGCAGGGTAACAAACAAATGTACTCCTCATCAAATAATTTCAGATAATCTGCACTGAATTATGTGCATGCTAGGTGAATATTGACTGACAAATGTAACATGTGGAAACGAGTATATAGACCGACTTATGTTAACAGATGAATAGTACATGTGAGGAGAGCTTGTATGGCCGAAAGGTTTAAGTACATCAAAGGTTGACTTATATGCTCGAAAGACCACTCCACTCATAGCCACTTGGTTTTGGTTGGATGCTTTAACATATGTATCATTACTCCCATTTCCATTTTACATTGCATCTTTGGAGTTCTACACAATGTTTTGTAAAGAGCCTCCACTAGCTAAAATACAATGCAATATCTAGGCGTGAGATAAAAGAAGGGAAAGATGAAGCCACAACCAACTTTTTTGTTTGCAACTGAACTGAACACACATCAAGCACTGGCTGGCATAAAGACAAACTTATACTGAAGCAGATTACGATGCTTTGTAAAGAAAACAAATCTTCTTGCAATTTAAATTCAAAAAAGTCAAACTATCTCTACACTTTCCAATCACAATCTGAATGTTGTCTCATTTTCAGTTAGCCATCGCCTGTTGTTTTCTCAGTTCTGTACATCTGATTCCCCTTCCATCTTATAAATCAGATTGTCTTACATAAAAGATAAGACTACAAATTCAATTACGAAAGGACTATGCAACTCGCCCTTATAATGTGTTACCATCATACATTTGTATTTTGGCATCATACTTATGAAACTAAGACGTTAATCAGAAGTAGACCAATGCCTTGTTATTGCTTCAACTATCATTGTAACCCCCATCGAGTTGATGTCATTTTAAATCCTCTTTATTACAGGGGTCAAATGGATATGAGCACTGCCCAACGTTCCATTTTCATTCCTCAAGACTTGGACACCAGGATTAAATGTAAGTGAAATTAAAAATATAGGGCGGGGAAAATGAAACCCAGAAAAAGAACACAAAGACAAATAGAAACATGCCACACTCCAGAGTACTAGTGTTTTCATTCTAAAAGAAATGCAGTACCATGGAATTCTGCATTTGGTTGATAAATCAGGTATCAGTCTGATCTCACCCACTGCACTCAGATTAGTCCCAACAGCAGGACCATCAGTTGCTGAACTCATTGCCATACAAGCTACAGTTAAACCAACACCATTTTTCTTAACGGAATCTTTGAAGCGTTTTTCTGGAATAACCTGCAACAATGATACACAAGCACTGAACTTAAACCATGTGATTTCTGCAGTTCTTCTAACCAAAATCACAGAATTCCCAAAAAAACATAAAAAAATCAAAGTGATCTAGCATAGAATTCAATCTATCTCAAATGTAAATCTATTATCTAAAATAGTAACAATAAACGAAAAACAAGCTGACAGAGGATCATAAACCTCTTGCTTCATCTATGCCCTGTGAAAGCTGAAGAACATGAAAAATATTATCAAAAAATCTAGAATATCTACATTGACTGACAAATAAACTAGTGCATAACATCATTATGAGAATAAATCAAGCAGCAATAGCTATCTTGTTCTTTCTCATCACATCAAAACAAATACAACAGAATAAAATACATTCATTTCATTCTCAAAATGGGCTGGCAACTCACAATTATAATCACAATGGTATCGCAGGTAAGCAATATCAAGATGGATGAGGAATGTATAACCATGTGATTACCCCAAAAGTAGAGTTCCAAATATAGAAAGGAAGCCACATCCTTTCATGTTGAAATATTATAATATACCATCAACCTAGAATCATTTTTTCTTGATGTTATGAGAGTTGATGATGATTTCCATCATATATACCTAAAAAAGCTTTAGTTATTCTTACTTGGTGGAAGTTATCTTCCATCCTGGAATTCACAGAATAATGGTACTTAGTACTGACAAACTGCATAACAACAATTTGAGATTCCAAAATGATTGAAAATATAAGAATAATAAACAGAAAAAAGAACTTACACGGCACCTGTGCTGTCCAGAAGCATCAACCCAAACAAGGCGAACAAGCACGACATCTCTTTGCGGGGTGTTAGTCTCTATCTTCACAAAATTGGGAGATATGACGTTTTTTGAATCAAAAGATTTTACAGCAACATTAATCTTGTAAAATCGTTTTGCATTTTCCGCAAAAATATCTTTAGCTGCATCAAGAGCTTCAGTAATTGAAAGATCTCCATCAACACATGCATCATGTAGAACAGAAAAGACAACTTCACGTGCTTTTTTTGCTCCTGTTAAAAAAATAAAAGTAAAAATTAGAAACATGGTACTACAGCAAGAAGCTCTATTTTGAATTCACTTGTAGCTAATATGTATACGCAGTAAGAAGTTCCTGTAAACCAGCATTTGCTGTTGAACTTCATGACTTCTATTTCTAATATTCAAAATTTATAGCTGAAAGACTCGTCATCATCAACAAAGACTTGTTCCAACTTCCTCCTACTTGTGGTCCAATAAATGGTTCTTGCCTCACAAATTTGCTTCTATCTAGGGGCATAGCATCTGTTGAAACCACAAGCTACCATAAGTTCTGTTAGAATGGGTATTCTAATAAGTATACTCCAAAGGGGTATATTGGTCTTTGATTAAAGCATAAATATGATATATACATTGAGGGCGAGAGAGGCTGGGCAAGAAACCCTCTCTCTGTTTTTCCTTCCTCTCAAATTCTCTCTCTTCTCTCTTCTTCTAATCCTAAATCTCTAACTCACACTTTATTCATTATCTCAAACCACATTAATTTGGTCTTCCCCTTCCCCGTGTGTTAACATAAATGGTTACCACAAAATGTCTGGGAAAGGCTTTGTTATCTTTTGCTTGTTCAGGTTGCCCATTACTTTTCTCAACATCAAGTTACTTCAAAGTATCACAATAATAGGATAAATGACCGCTCACAGAACTTTTTTTGAGAAGTCTTGGTGATGACTTTTAAGATATGGCCAATGGTAAGTTGACAAAAAAGACACTCATAAAATTCTGCCAAATGGCAAGACCAATAACTAACACGCTTGAAAACAAAAGCATAAAAGTTGGAGTAAATAGTTCCAACAGATACAAAAAACCAAGCATTACACGGATTGAGATAGTGAGGAAATTACCTAATATGGTTTCCACTTGCCAGAATATGATATCAAATACAGAAGAACTATTAAATCAATATATCTGACTGACCTGAACAGCTCTGATGAAGACAATGTTGTATATACACTTTACTACTGGCTACTATATCATTCTTGTCCTTCTAAAATGACAATCAAGAGGACAGCATATGATTTCACATAGATGCAAAAAACTTGCACTTCGAATTGTGAAAACTATTCTACCAAAAGATGCCATAGATTCCAGTCTTGCCATATTTTATATGATTAGTGTTAATCAGGCATCTACTCTAAAATTAGAGAGGGTGCCATTTAAAGTATTTATACTTCGACACACCCCCTCATGTGCAGGCTAGATTTTGGGCCTAACACGTCGAAATCATTTAATTGTCGGGAGTGGCAGCGAGATTTGAGGACAGGATCTCCTGCTCTGATACCATGTTGGACACCCATTTACTCTAAAAACGTAAGCAATTAGAGAGGGCGTAACTTAAGTATTTGTACTTCAACAACTACATATGTGCAAAAAGCTATTATTTTTCTTATGAAACTCATCAGAATATACTCAAACGGAAATTTCATTTGAGAAGTGGTATTACTACTATTCATTTCTTTTAAGCACAGTCTTGTTCAGATAGCGTGGTCTGTGTGTTATCCAAGTAACAATTTATTAAACTTGATGGAGAAATATTTTGGCTCCATCAAACATAAGCACAACAATAATTTGCAAAAATATCAATTGTACTTTAGAGGTACAAATATGATCTCTGACCAACTATATAAATGCATTACTGTGTGCATAGCCTTCAGTATGCAACTTTCCAGAAAAACTAGTATTTTCAACATGATATGTATTAAGCCCCCGAACAAATTAACAATATAAAAGAGATGGCCTTACTAATCACTTTGACCAACCTAGGTAGAAAGTTTCAGGAAAAGCGCAGCCATCAGTGCTGAACATCACCTGCATATTGCATTTTGTATAAAATCAAATGGGGAAACTTAAACAATTCCACAACACAATGAATTCAAGGGCTTGATCCTATCTTGTAGTAAACAAATCAGTAAAGATAGAAACAAACAAACCATTATTCCCATGCACCCTCATAGCAACATATTTAATTTAGATATGAAAGATATGAACCCACCAAGAATATTAATAATTAAAGAATTAATTTGACAATGTAACCACAAGAAGATAGATTCATCTTTAGATTTTTAACATAGCATTGACATGTTACATTTCTTTAAATATTCTATTGATTCTCAACATAGTATTGACGTGTTTCGTTTCTCTAAAAATATACTGATTCAAGAAAACATTTGGGGTCCAGCATGTTAGTTTTGAATTTTGTTACGTCTAATATTTTTAAAGCCTATAAAAGGGAATCATATGACTAAGAATTGAAAAAAAAAATTAGAGAGCCTTAAATTGGATACATTGATATAATTTCCTACGATGGCTAGCAGTTTCATATTGCAGACTCTAGGTCAGACTAGGATCAAACTGAGACATTTGATTTCCATGTAAGGACAATACAGAATGGTTCCGTTTCTGAGTAGTGTCCATATCCATTGGCTCACAAAATTGACATATTGAAAACCCAGAACTGAACTTTTCATGGAAGCCCAAATCTTAATCACAGTCCCCACTTCTTCGAAAACCAGACCAAGCAATCATGAAACTTCCACTAGCACCCTCTTCCCAGGACCCTGGGCAACTATTTTCAATATTCTTGAAGAGCACAAGTGTCACCTTCTTTAATGGAGCTAGCTCCAAAAGTTCTTTGACTGAAGATATCATCCCATGGATGCTAAGCTTAGGAATTGCCAACCCAAAATCAAGGTAAACCTGAAATTGAAGGGTGTTAATGCTGTTAGAGAACTTGTGAGTTAAACCTGCAAGTCCAAGATCAACACCACATGTCTAAGAGTTTCACAGATGTCTTCAAGACCATACCTGAGGATAAACAGAGGCCAGATATGATGCTTCTTTTGAAAATGGGTAAGATGCATGCAAAAGCACTATGCGACAGTTAGAGAATCTCCTGTCCTCAAGAAGATTGCGGAGATGAAGAGGATTCGAAAGTCTCAAATCCAAATCTTTGTCTCCAAAGCTTAATAGCAAGGAAAAAGAAACAAATAATGTAGTCAGTAAATGAAATATATAGAAAGTAAAACCACCTTCCCTTAATTCTTTGTTGATTGTTCAAGTGACAAGGAAAAAAAATTAAAAAACTTGGTATCTTGAATCAGCAACCTGAAACCAAACCATATTAAAGATCCCAAGTTCTTCACTCCTTTTCCTATATTTTAACAGCAGTTGAACAGAGCACAAAGTGAAATCACTTGAATGAACCTGAACTCCTCTTACCCTGTGTGTATCTGGATTGGCAAGTCAAAACATAGGGCTACCTCCAAACTGCGGGTGAAGATATAATCAACAAAGTTTTTATTTGTGATGCGGACAGGATTCCCAGCTGGAAAGAGACACAGATCAGAATATCCTGTGGTGAATTCCTGGAACGGTAACACACTGTTTACATGCTAACACTCACCATGTAAAACATCAGTAAGACCCTCCTCAGCCTCCTTCCTTGTGACATTTGTATTTATCTCCAGTCCACTGCGGTATGAAGCTATGCTCTTCAAGGCAACAATTTCAGCAGCAACTGTAACTAAAGGATAAGGAAACTGGAACTAGGGATTCTTTTTCATGTTAAAGGAATGAGAAAGGTACCAAAAGATGTCAACCCAAAAAAAATAAAAGGATATGAATTTAGCTTTCCTACAAAGTCTTTCATAAACTTGTCCAATGTCCAAGGCAATCCATCTGAACTCCCCTAAAAGAAAGATAAAAGAACAAAGAGCAAGAAAGAAAAGAAGCACTTATGAATGTAATATACTTAAATTAAAAGGGAAAAAACTAAAGAGATGATAATAGCTGACAGCCGAAAATGAAGTCACATTGGTGCAAATATTACAACATGTTGATGAACAAAATGAAGATAAGAAATTCAGGTTTAACCAACAGTACGGATTGTCACATCTCTTCCTTAGGCACTAATTTTCATCAATGAAATACGAAACTAACAGGCCACTTAAAAATTATAAATATTAAGGGAACTAGTATGTGTGAATTGGTACGTAGTTGACATGAGATTTGACATCTCTTTGACAATGGACAAAGACCAAAAAAAATCAACTGGAAATGAAAAAATTAAAGAAGAATAATAATGATTCAAAAGACAATAAAAAGTAAAACCAAGAAAGCTATCTCTATCCAGATCAAAAACAAAGAAAAATCTTTCTACCAGCAATGTCAAACCAGTTCTCATAATTTCTCCTAAGCCACAATCTGAGCTCTAATGCCAAGTTGCAGTTATCTCCTTTCAGATTCCAAATTATCTTAACTTCAATGCATCATAGTTGGACAACATTATTATTATTGGGTGGTAGTTACTTATCACATCAAACTATGAACCAGCTCGTGCAATTCTCAGTTTTCACTCTTATTCCAGTAATAATATCGCCAGGACAGCTGGTTCTGTATCTTGGAAGCATAAAATCTGGATATCAGATGATATAATATAATTAAAAACTCTCGAGGAATTCTGCAGTGAAATTGATGATAATGTAAGAAGAACAATAGGGTGCAAGTAATTTCATATGTTTCATACTTCTCAACCAATAGAATCAATCGATTGGAATGGAAGAATCTTTATCACTGTATTGATGCCAGTATGATTTCTTCTCTACTTCTTCTAAGAAGTCACGGAGATGTACATGTGGGGGTCAAAGGTTGCTCCATTGTGATCTGGGTGTCAAGGATTCAAGTTGTGGAAACAGTCTCTTTGCATGTGGGGGTAAGATTGCATACATCAGACAATCCCAGAGCTCATAGTGGCAAGAGCCTCATGAATTGGGTTACCTTTTTTTTAACTTATATTCTCGAAAGTGAAAGATGCAACCAGCAAGAGTTCTAACACCTGGTACTCAACTTACAGCCTTTATAGGCAACCAAATGGGGAAGCAAATAATGCCAAAGTTGAAATCACTAGAAACATGGAATTTCTACTTCCCTATAATCCAATCATAAGATGCCCAAAATGTGTATCTAGAAACCCGATAAGAAAAGGCCAAATTGGGTAATATACACTATAGAGGGCATTGAAGGAAATGCATTTACAAATTAGAGAAAGATATGTTTAGAATAAATATACTGATGTGTACGAATAAAAGATTTACAACAAAAAATAGAACCAAAAGAAAAGATTGTTAAGGTATCTCACTTCATCAAGAATCTTCTCAGCCAACTGCTCAATTCTCAATATTCTACCAACAACAGGTGCAAATTTCCTGTGCCACTCAATCTCATGCTTTTTGTCTAATTCAATTCCATCATCAATGAGTATGGTACAAATCCCAGCATCTTGGAAGCACATAGTGCTAATTGACTCCAATCCAAAGCAACTGCGATATCCTTGAACGCCATGCAACGATAGCTCAGAGCCGTAAAGTTTAGCAATCTCCCTCAGGCTCCTCTGCAATATGCATGCAAGTTTGTCAGAAATGGATGAGAAATAAAGCATAGTGAAAATTGATATTTGATTGCAAAATAGCACTAAGACCAAATACAGTAATTCGTGCCAGATACAGGGCAGGTAGACTGGAAGAGGTTCAGTATAAACTACAAAGCTGAAATAATCCTCCTTTAAATAGCCTTGGGGCCAGACATGCAAGATTAGTGGTAAAGCTTGCAGCAAATAGCAAGAAGACTTGCACCAAAACTGAAAATTTCAACCAACTAGGTGATATTAAAAACTGCCTTTGAACCATGAACTGAGATACAGACATGTTACAAGTTGAAAAGAGAGATTAGGAAGCATGGATATGGATACGAGATACGGGTATGATAAGATATAGGTATAGCGATACAACAAACCCCAAAAAATAGGATATGGGTACAGTAAGGATACGTCTATAAATATATATATTTTATATTTTTACTATTATATAATGACCTGATACTTATAATTTTTAGTGATTCTTTAACAATACAAACAACATTAATAATTTTTTATCTTCAAAAAGTTACCTATCGTCTCACTATGGTACATCTATGAAGTGAACGTGATTAATTAAAGTAATAAGAACCAACATTTAAATATATTGTTTGCTTAGAAGTAGTTATAGTTAAGATTATAGAGTAATTAACTTATTTAATCTCTTTGGGCATGTGATAATGAAAAATACTTGGAAAACATCCATGTGTCTTCCAAGTCATACGAATTTTTGTTGATGTATTACATTGTATGTGAAATCAAAAGGAAAGGATAAAGATTAAACCTAAAAATTACAATACATCTCAGTAAATAGAAGTATTTGTGAAGTATTTATATATTTTATTTATTATTGAATACGTTTGGTGTTTATCCGATACGTATCTTTGAGTATCGTATCAGATATGTATATGTCGACCATAACGAAGTATTTGTACTTCATAGTTGGGATTTTTCGTTGTCTGGAAAGTAAAACCCAAATCAAGAATTTGAATCACCCACAATGTACGAGCCAGTTGGTCCCAAAGACTTTGATCTTATTTTTGAAATCCGTCCAACTGAATCACACACTAAGTCCTATTTAAGGCGGTTGCTATCACCACATCTTAAAAAACCAACTTTGAAAAACCTGGCAGGTGCAAGTATACTAATACTATGTTGCAATGGTGACACAAAAATTCTAAAATGCATATAAAAATATTTAATGAAGGACACGAAATGGAATAGGAAAGGTAAAGAAAAAAGGACTTCCCCCGTGTATTCTCAAGTAGTCAAAAAGGTTTATAAATTAAGAATTTGTCAGAGAAAAATAACAAGTTAAATTAAGAATCTTTCTTTTTGTTTTATGTGTTTTTTCTTCTTTCTCCTTATTTGTTATGGTAGCCATTTTTCTTTCTCCCAATAAACCTTTTCAACCAAATGAAGCATTAAAACCTAGCTAGTGCTTTCAATAAGCCACAATGGAAGTACTTAGAAAATGCATACAGTACCAAATGAGACTTCTTTACTAGCTTATTTGATCTCATACTAAAAACAATTAAGAATTCCAAGCCAGCAATCATTTCAAACACAACATACTATGAAGCCAATTTCAAAAGATCAAAAATTTTAGATTGAAACAGAACAAATGCTGATGTCCTTTCAAGCAAATTAAAATATCCATCAAATTAAAGACCCCCACCTGTTTACTATTTGTAAAATTCATAGAATTAAACAGATCAAATACTAACATCCTCTAGAGAAAATTAACATATGCATCAAATTATACTCCCCACCTGTGTACTGTTTGTGGGACAACAACAATAAGTGACCACATATTCGAAAAGCAACAAACCACATATTCGAAAAGCAACAAAGGCCATCATAATAACTCAATTCAGTGACAAAACAATGACCTCCAGGAATGCAGAGATATCAAAAGCCATTAATGGTCACAAGCAGTGGCGGATTTAGGGTGGGGGCAGATTTTAAAAACTTTTGGGCTTCTTGCAAAATTTTGAAAATTTTAAAATTATTTAGGATTTGCCCCCACTAAAAAGTAAACCAAAAAAAATTAGATGCAAATTTTTACATAAATGGATATAGGAAAATTAGATTCAATTGTGATCCAATGTCATTGTATATACACATATTTATAGATATAATAATTAAAATTGAGTGATTATTTAACAATATTGTGTTGAAACTGAAATGTAATTTATTAAAATTCACCTCTTGTTTAATTATTGGGATAAGATTGACCTTTGACAAAAGGATTCAATATGAACTATAAAAATTAAGTTCATTGAATAGTCATATTGAGAACGAATTAATTTTTTAAATCGGATTTTGATCAATTCAAATTCTATCCAAATCTTATCGCTAACAAGAATAGTAATGATTTATATGTAAGGCACAACGAGGATGGATGATGGTAATCCAATCATTCTTAATGATTGTCCCCACTCTGACTCCGCTCCTGATCACAAGTCATAAATTTCCACAGTGATATGGCATTATAGCAGCATATTTCATCATCATCAAAAAACCCAAAATTGCCAATTTTCAAGAGAAAAAAAAAAGACAATCAGAATAACAATATTTACCATAAATTGATACAAGGATATATATGCATTGTATAAATGTGTAAATGTTTGATACATGGAGATACATGTATTGTATAAATGTGTAAGTGTTTGATACATCGAGATATATGTATTGTATAAATCAGTAACATGGAGATATATGTGTTGTATAAATGTGTAAGTGTTTGACGCATGGTGATATATGTATTGTATAAATCTGTAAGTGTGTATTGGTCTTTGTGTATGTTTGTGTTCACTAACTATGCAGAGTGAATAAATGAATGGGCGCAAGATAAGAATGGATAGCGCTTCGCTCGCACCTTGAAGCTGAGGGTGTGGGGTGCGTAGGACAAGGCGTCGCCGGTGGCTTCAGAGAAGCAGGTGAGAAAAGGGACGGTGGAATCAAGGCTGACGATATTGTGTGCATGGGCGTCGACTACCTCTATACTATCAATTGCTTCTCTCAGCTCTGCAAATTTCTCCATTACTCTCTGCCTCTGAAAGTCAAAACTTCAAAAAACAGAGAGTCACACAACACTGCTTATATGAAGAAACGACTAGTTCGTCCACCGGCATGCCCAGTTTTTCTCCACCTTTTGAGTTTTGGGGCAAATTTACTATTTTCGTTTTGAACTATGCCCATAATTGTTATTTGGCCCCTAAAGTTTTAATTGATATATCCTTAAAATTTTAACAGAATTAGTTCCAAGAAAAAGACGACATCACAAGAATTACCCACTTATAATATAAAATAGAATATGTTTCAATAAATTTATTCGATGGTTTCAAATAAATTCATTCAACGACTATTAACATCTATCTCAAAATCTTTCACATTGAATTTTCTTTTAAATGTATCACTTTTTACTTATGTTGCACCGTACCTTTATACATAAGTTATCTCTAATAAAAATATATTTGTCCAACAAAAAATATCTCTTAAACGAATCGATGTTTTTCTTTTTATACCACAATATATTTCAAATTTTTATTTTATATATTTATTTTTATTTTTTTTCCTTAAAATCAGATGAAATAAAATAAGAATTTGTAGCCTACACATAATAGATTTTTGACCAAATAAGTATACTCTTTTATCTAAATCATGTGTTGGTCATGGAAGACTAGTTCGTCATAATAAATTGATGAATTTTAATGTAAAAATTATATTAAAACTCTAAGGACTTGATTGTTATCATTAGAACTTCAAGTACCAAATAGAAATTTGGTACTTAGTTTAAGGGTACCTTTAGAGTTTTGGCGTTTACTATTTAAGTTTTTTAATCCAAGTTGGCGGTGCAGGCGGAATGCACCTGATCATCCTCCTTGGTGACAACCAACTTTTGTTTTCCATTTGACTTTGTATTTTCCATGTGACGTGAGTTAAAAGGATAGGTTATCCAGAAATTATTTTTTAACATTACATAAAATTTTTTTCTAAATTTTCACTGAATTTATTTATAATCATTGATCATAAAAATAATAAAATAAAATATAAAGTTAAAAAGCTCTTCATATATTATATTTGTGATTAATTTATTCAGAGTTAACTACCTATTTGATCCTTAAATTATATGGTTTTGTGTCAATCAAATTCGTAAATTATGTTTTGTGTCAATTTAAGAGTTGTTTTATAACACTATTTAAGACTTAAAATTGAATATTTTAAGCACTTAATAAATTAAATCCGTTTTATAACCTAAAACTCATATTATTTAATATTTTAAACACTTCTTAAAAATAAGCTAAATTTTAAGTAACAAACTACCTATTTATCACTTAATGATAAAAATGTTAGTTACTAAGAAATTTATTAATTTTTTATAATAGACAAATATACCCTTACACCATTGTGTCACGTCACCACCACCATTGTAGCCACTATTACCACCACCATTGTGCCACCGTCACCATCACCACCACCACCACTGTCATCATCATTAACATTATGTCACTGCCACCGTCGGCATTGTGCCATCGTTACCATGACTATCATTGTCGCCACCACCACTATTGTGTCACCGCCACTACCACTATAACTGTCATCGCCACCACTCTATCACCATTGCCACCGCTGTCACTATCATTGTGTTACCGTCGCCACCACCACCACCACCGTTGTCGCCACCATTACCACCACTATTGTGATGGTGGTGATAAGAATAATGTAGTTTGCAGAGAGATGGTTAAAGACAAGGGCAAAAAAATAATAATAATAATTTTTAGATTTCAGTTTCTTATATTTGTCAAACAGTTTGATTAAATTCAATATTTCAATTTCAATTGAAACCAAACAATTTACGAATTAAAAAATTTAGCATTCAACACTTAAAATTCAACATTCAGTTTTTAGTGTTTAGCTTTCAGTTTTATCAAACACCACCTTAGTTATTAAACTATGTAATTTGACTTAATCTGTCCCTTTTGTCAAAATTCACTATTAACTTTGATAAAAACTCTCACGTGCACATCATTGAGCTAAATATTAGGTTAAAGTTGAGAGGCCACGTGATGTGTATGTGAGGGTTTTCGTCGTAGTTGACATTTAAAACCATCAAAACAAGGGTTTATAGATATGTTTTTACAACATAAAAACGAAAAAAAAAATATAACTTTGCCGTGACCAAATAGATGAGGTTTTATGTGAATATGTAGTCCAGATCCAAAGAAAAAAAATATGTGGTAAGTTAATATCGCAATCAATGAATAAGACAAAAATGTTATTAACTTCACTTTTTATACATTTTAAAAATTGCTAATTCCTCATATACCATCATGAAAGTAGTGTAAAAATAAGATTAGGATGATTATATAGATGCCTCCGAGTATATTCAAGAACGCCGGGGAGAATCCACCCAAGGTAGAGATTTTTAGAATTGATTAATTGTTATGGTAATTGGATGTAATGTAGAAAATATATTACTCGTTTTTTTTTTTTACAATGATATTGAGAAGAATAATTTTTTTGACGTATAAAAATAAGGCTTTCAAATGGTCAATCACTTGAGTTAATTCATGGGACCCACAGAATAACAAATGAACTTGTCAAACAAAGAACTGGTTAGGAATACACTCTTGTCCAAGCCAATGTCACTTATCGTGTTGAATTAGATTGGATAGGAAAGGATAAAAAATTTTAAACCTATCCTATCCCACCTCGGCATTTAACACACCACAACGGGAACACGTCTTTAATCTTTTATCCCAACATATCAACCAAAACTATGTAAATGAGTAAACCTGAGCATTGCCACCACTATAATTGTCATCGCCACCACCCTATCACCATTGCCACCGCTGTTACTACCATTGTGTTACCGTCGCCGCCATCACCACCGCCGTCGTCGCCACCATTACCACCAATATTGTGATGGTGGTGATAAGAATAATGTAGTTTGCAGAGAGATAGTTAAAGACAAGGGCAAAAAAATAATAATAATAATTTTTAGATTTCAGTTTCTTATATTTGTCAAACAGTTTGATTAAATTCAATATTTCAATTTCAATTGAAACCAAACAATTTACGAATTAAAAAATTTAGCATTCAACACTTAAAATTCAACATTCAGTTTTTAGTGTTCAGCTTTCAGTTTTATCAAACACCACCTTAGTTATTAAACTATGTAATTTGACTTAATCTGTCCCTTTTGTCAAAATTCACTATTAACTTTGATAAAAACTCTCACGTGCACATCATTGAGCTAAATATTAGGTTAAAGTTGAGAGGCCACGTGACGTGTACGTGAGGGTTTTCGTCGTAGTTGACATTTAAAACCATCAAAACAAGGGTTTATAGATATGTTTTTACAACATAAAAAAAAAAAAAAAAATATAACTTTGCCGTGACCAAATAGATGAGGTTTTATGTGAATATGTAGTCCAGATCCAAAGAAAAAAAATATGTGGTAAGTTAATATCGTAATCAATGAATAAGACAAAAATGTTATTAACTTCACTTTTTATACATTTTAAAAATTGCTAATTCCTCATATACCATCATGAAAGTAGTGTAAAAATAAGATTAGGATGATTATATAGATGCCTCCGAGTACATTCAAGAACGCCGGGGAGAATCCACCCAAGGTAGAGATTTTTAGAATTGATTAATTGTTATGGTAATTGGATGTAATGTAGAAAATATATTACTCGTTTTTTTTTTTTTACAATGATATTGAGAAGAATAATTTTTTTTGACGTATAAAAATACGACTTGGATTCGTTATACTATAGTTTTTGGGTCAAAGGAAATAGTGATAATTATTTCTCAGCCAAGTGCTATAAAAATAAGGCTTTCAAATGGTCAATCACTTGAGTTAATTCATGGGACCCACAGAATAACAAATGAACTTGTCAAACAAAGAACTGGTTAGGAATACACTCTTGTCCAAGCCAATGTCACTTATCGTGTTGAATTAGATTGGATAGGAAAGGATAAAAAATTTTAAACCTATCCTATCCCACCTCGGCATTTAACACACCACAACGGGAACACGTCTTTAATCTTTTATCCCAACATATCAACCAAAACTATGTAAATGAGTAAACCTGAGTATCTCCAACCGACAATGTCAAAGCCAGCTGGAGCACCCCAAGGGCCATATTTGGCCTTTCTTTCTTCTCCAACCGGCAAAAAAATATTCGACATTCTATTAAATTTGGCATATCTCAATTGATATGTCAAAATCCTTTTAATGCAATATTTTTATGGAATTGTTGAGTGTTTAATGCAATTTAAAGATATATTTAAAGATAGAGATGTAATAAAATATATTATTTTGACATTTCGGTTAAAGTACAATGAAGTGAAGATGTCAAATTGTCACATAAGCCTTCAAATTTAAATTTGGCATCTAAATTTTGACATCTTTATCGGAAATGCTTAGAAATCAATTTCAATTTTGTCAATGTTTAGAAATGAGTGTCGATCAAAGACTCAAGAAAATTTATAAAATTGATAAAAAAATATTTTTAGAGTTTTTTTTTGTCAAGGAAATATAATTTCATTAACTAATCAAAACATAACCCAACAACCATTACAAACTCTTACACTCAACCTATTCCAACTCTGGCTTCTTGCCTAATGATACCCATCAAAATTCTTGGTAAAACATCCATCCCCTTAAAACGAACAAAACTACTTTTGGCATGAGCCGCCAAATAATGAGCCTCCTTGTTTTGAACTCTTCTTACCGCATGAAACTCAATGGAAGGAACCAATAACGCATAGTTCCTGATATCTTGCTGGATAGGTGCAATCTCCCTTCGACAATCCCCACAACCTCTATGCAAGGAGTCCATGAGTTGCTTCGAGTCAGATTCAATAACTACTCTATCATACCTTTGCTCCACTGCTAACTTACATGCTCTCCTAACTGCATGGGCCTCAGTAACCAAAGCAGATGATGCCACCAGCCTTTGAGCCTCACCTGAGATACATCGTCCCTCATGGTCACAGACCAAAATAGAAAACGCTCCATCTTTTGTCTCTTGGAGCAAAACTCCATCACAGTTAATCTTTAGCACTCCAGCAGGTGGTGGTTGCTAGGCAGTACCTACAGATATCGAAGAAATACTGG